AAGGAAAGGAAAGGAAAGGAAAGGAAAGGAAAGGAAAGGAAAGGAAAAGAGAAAAGGAAGGAAAGGAAAAGAGGGAGGGAAGGAAGGAAGGAAAGAAAAAGAAAGGAAAGGGGAAGGAGAGAAGAAAGGAAAGAAAGAAAAGAAGCAGGGAGGGAGGGAGAAGGAAAGAAAGGAGAAAGAAAAACAGTCTTGCAGGGGTGAATGCAATCACATGCTGCAATCTCTTCCTGCCTTCCTATTTGCTCTTGTTTGGCTTTTCCTGTTTTTATAACCTGGGGGCAGGAGGAAAATCTCTTCGATTGCCAGGCCTTTCCTCTGCTCTGAAAGACTGCACTGGGGTACCTAGACTTCCACCTGGTCAACCGTTCCAGGGATCTCCCCAAAAGACTCCTGCCCCTCGAGAGGCCTGGCCGCCATGCACCAACACAGAGGCTGTTTCTGCAAATTCTATTCTCAAGCTGGGAGAAAGGCAGTCCTGGGACATTGCGGGTGGGCTCTTTCAAAGCCGCCTGCAGGGAAAACTCCCACCAAGCAGAGAATAGGGAAGCCATCAGAGTGGCAAAACTGAGGCAGCAAGATTAACTTGTTGAGCTTGGCCGTTGCCTGTGTTGGGTCAACAGAGAACACCGTCTAGTTGCCAGCTATGACTTCGTGCCAAATAGCGGAGAAGAAAGATGCCTGAGTTTATCGCTGACCAGCATCTGGGATCAAAGCATTTTCAACCTGTAAGCTCATTTTTAATCAGGGACCATGAGTCATGGTCCGGGGCTATAATTACCATCATTAAACCTGATCTTTTAAAAAAAGGGCTCTGTTCAAACTGTGCATGGTGGCTCGAAGGCTGAAAATAGGGAAGGGGGGTGGAAAAGAGGTGGTGTGTTTTGTTTTGCGACAGCCCCTCCCTTGCCACCTGCCCCCTCTTTTGATCACAGTCTTTGTCTCAGTGGCAATCAAAACACCAACTACTGCTTAGAAGTGGAGTAAAGAGGCCTCCATTATCTGAGGACGCTTCAAAAGAGTCTCCATCACAATAGGTTTGCAGGATGAGTGCTCTCTGCCAATCCTGTTTGGCCACTCACAAATCTTTACAGCAGGGGTACCCAAACACGGCCACTTTAAGACTTGTGGACTTCAACTCCCAGGGGAATTGAAGTCCACAAGTCTTAAAGTTGCCAAGTTTGGAGACCTCTGCTTTGCAGAGTTAATGCCATCAAAAAGAAAACATAACTAGAACAGGGTTGTCGAACCTTGTCAGCTTGAAGACTTATGAACTTCAACTCCCAGAATTCCCTAGCCAGCTGGGGAATTCTGGGAGTTGAAGTCCAAAAGTCTTCAAGTTAACAAAATTTCGACACTCCTGAAGTAGAAGATTTTCTGCTTCCACGGTTCAATTCCCATTTGCACTTTTTCTACTGTAAAACCACGAGGGACACCAGACCAATTGAAAAAGTTCTCCATTGTAATAAACTAGTTTTAAGGTGCCAAGACCCTCCGACGGCCTGCACCCCAAAAACAATAGTTCTGAAAAAGAATTTAAGGTTGGAAGGCCAATTTATATTCAGTCTAGTATAACTGGATCTCTTCACCTAACTTGGGGTCTTGTCACAAGGCAGGATTGGGTGGGGAGAGACCGGTACAGATTGAAAAAGTGTATGTGTGTCAGCACAGGTATTTATGTCCATTTTGGTGAATTTCTTTCAAAGGGATCATTTAAGCCGAGCAATGATCAATTTTTAGGAAACCTACAAAGAGGAAAGTTCCTTTTTGGGAGAAAACTAAGGAAAAGCCACAGGGGGTTATTGGGGATTTTAAAAAGGACGTGCATGCTAAAAAGGAAACGGAGCCTCACTCTTTAGGGCCTTGCAAATGTTTGACACCCAAGTTACTCCTTTGAGGAAAATATCATGAGCTTCGGCAAAAAAAGCATCAGCAGTTTTGCCAGATCTGAAAGGCAGCGTGAGTCCAGTTCTGCTCAAGAAGGCATTTTTTGCCTTAGTGCAAAATCCCCAAAAAGTATCAGGGTGTATCTCCAAATCCTTGCCAAGGTGAGGCTCCTGCAGATTAAAAACATTCCAGTGGCATTTACCCTTCACACGAGAACAGCTAGTCTAGGACAGGGGTCTCCAACCTTGGCAACTTTAAGACTTGCAGATTTCAACTCCCAGAATTCCTCAACCAGCAAAACTGGCTGAGGAATAATGGGAGTTGAAGTCCACAAGTCTTAAAGTTGCCAAGGTTGCAGACTCCTGGTCTAGGATGAATATTTTCAAAGCACCCAAAAACACCAGTACCGTTTCACATTGGCTTCTCAAGCGCCTACTTTCCACCCTTCCCTCTGGGAATTGCTCCCTTGTTTTAAGACCAAAGACTGGCCAAGAACAGTCTGCTTATAGGAGGTCAGGCAAGAGAAGGCCTGGAGGTTTGGGCTCCACGCAATTGATCCAGAAGTTAGCACAGCTGGCGTGATACTGATGCCCTCCGTAAGCAAGCTTGAAGCTGTCTGTCTCGGAGTTGAAGGCCTAGAGAGAAAAGAAAGCAAGGACACGACGTCAGAAACGCCTCGTGGTGTGTTTGTTCTCAGTGACCTCGAAGGAAGGAAGGGTTGACTGCTTTGGGGCACCAGATGTGCTTTCCAAACTCCCTATCAAGGTGCTCTTGAGAAAAGGTCTAACCTAGTTTTTCCTAATCGTGGCCACTTCCGGATGTGACCAAATTTAAAATCCCAGAATTCCACAGCTAGGGTACCCACGAGTGAGAATTATGGGAGTTGAAGGCCACACGTCTTCAAAATGGCCAAGGATTTGGAAAATGCTGGTCTAATTAGGTTCCAAATTGCAGTGGCGTGTAATCCAGGTTGAATCTAGAGATGCTGTCTTAAAGGCAGTTTGTCCTTGATTTACAATGATTTATCAAGCATTCAAAAGTGACAACGGTACTGAAAAAGGTGACTTACAACCAGCTCTCATGCTTAAAGACTGCGGCAGCCTCTTCACGGTCACGTGATCAACATTTGGGTGCTTGGCAACCAACATGTACTTACAGTGGTGGCAGTGTTCCGAGGTCATGTGATCACCATTTGCGACCTTCCAAGCTAGCTTCCAACAAGCAAAGTCAATGGAGAAAGGTGGATGGTGGTGCGGTGGTTAGAATGCAGTACTGCAGGCTACTTCTGCTGACTGCTGGTTGCCTGCAATTTGGCAGTTCCAATCTCACCAGGCTCCAGATTGACTCAGCCTCTTCCATCCTTCTGAGGTGGGTAAAATAAGGACCCAGATTGTTGGGGGTAATGTGCTGTGTTGTAAACTGCTTAGAGAGGGCGGTAAAGCACTGTGAATTGGTATATAAGTCTAAATTTTATTGTAATTGCAGGCTAACTCTGCCCACTGCCGGAAGTTTGATCCTGACAGGCTCAAAGTTGGCTCAGCCTTCCATCCTTCCCAGGTGAGTAAAAGGAGGACCCAAATTGTTGGGGGCAATAGGCTGACTCTGTAAACCGCTTAGAGAGGACTGTAAAACACTGTGAAGCCGTATATAACTCTAAGTGCTATTGCTATTGCTGACAAACTGCCCTTTCTCAGCAGTTCAATCCTGACCAGCTCAAGGTTGACTCAGCCTTCCATCCTTCTGAGGTTGGTAAAATGAAGACCCAGATTACTGGGGGCAACATGCTGACTGTAAAAATGCTTAGAAAAGGCTGTAAAGAGTTCTATATGAACTCTATGAACAGTGCTATTGCTATTTGTTTAACAGCTTCATGATTCACTTAACAATGGCTGTGATTTGCTTCACAAACATGGCACAAAGATTGCAAAATCCGGCACAACTCACTTCACAGCTGTTCTGCTTAGCAATGGAAATTTTGGTCCCAATTGCGGTCATAAATGGAGGGCTACTTCTAAGACTGAGAAGACAAAGAGATGTTGTGTGCACGTTTGAAGATGTTCCTTGCCAGGTGAGGTGAAATAAGCTACTAGGCAGGAATTTCTCCCTGGTGACTCTTCCTGGTGGTAAAATCTCATTCCTTGCCCTGCAATCTTTTCGGTTTCTTGGTGTCCGGCAAAGTTCTTTCCATTTCTATAGTTTTCTATATACAATTTTAGTCTTGCTGACTAGTCTACCACCCAAGGCATACTTTCATAATCCTGACAAGAGTAGGATATAATTATTGATTGCCCAGATATCTATCCTTTGCCAAAAATGGAACAAGACCAGAAAAACTGGTGGAATGTCTCAGGGATGAATAAGCATATTTAGATATTGGAACTTTGAATCTGGCTTCTAGCGACCAATAGTCCTTGATTTTCAATAAAAATTTCCACTGCTAAGAGATGGAAGCAGTTGTTAAGTGAGCTTTGCCCCATTTTACGACCTTTCTTGCCATACTTCTTAAGTGACTCAGAGACCAGTGTTAAGTTAGTAATCTGGTTGTTAAGTGAATCTGGCTTCTCCCCTGACTTTGCTTGTCAGAAGGTCAGCAAAGGGTATTACATGACCCCGGGACGCTGCAACCGTCATAAATATGAATCGGGTGCCAAATGCTTGAAGTTTGCTCATGTGACTTTGCTACAATGGTCCTAAGTGTGAAAAATGGTCATAAATCACTTTTTTCAATGCCACTGTAACTTTGAACGGTCACTAAATGAAATGGCTGTAAGTCAAGGACTTCCTGTAGATCAGGGGCCCCCAAACTTGGAAACTTTAAGACTTGTGGACTTCAACTCCCAGAATTCTCCATCCAGCATAGCTGGCAGTTTTGGCCACAAGTCTTAACGTTGCCAAGTTTGGAGACCTGTGCTGTAGATAGACCAACGTCAAATCTGTCATAACTTCAAACGATTGCTAAGTGACCAGTCATAAGTTGAGGACTATCTATAAAGGGCAACAGAGACAGTGCAAGAACAAGGCACTGAGCATTTAGATTCTTAAAGAAGAAAACAAAGATGATTTGTGTTCTATCCATTCTTCTCTGGCTTATAAGGAGCCACTACAGAGCTCAGATAATATAATAGACACATAAGAACCAAGAATACAGACTACAAGAACTGACAACTCAACAATCACCACACGAGGGACACCAGCACAAAGCAAGCGACTCACAAAGCACCAGCATGCTGACAAGACCACGAGGAGGAAAGTCCTTTGACTTGGGTCGTGCTGGGTTAGTCGATTAAAATCAAAAGGTTAGAGAAAATTGGGGGCAGGGGGCGGGGGTGTCACAGAGATTGTGGCTGGAGAAAGCTATGGCAACATCTTGTTTGGGACACACAGTGTTTTTAAAGGGAAAAACCAGACGAGGTTTGTGAATTCGTACTTCTCTAGGATGTTCTTCCAGAGGCATTTCTTCTTTCTGAAAACAATGTTGAAAACCAAAGGAAATGTCAGCAACACCGTAGCCAAAACACAGGAGCTGGTTTCCCTGCTCCCATGCCGTGACCCTTCATCCCACTGATGGTTAAGATTTGGGGATTGCCAACCTTGTACCTCCTTTCCTCCTGCCATGCTAAGCGGATATGCTAAGCCGAATCCAGCCTACCCTAATCTCCATGGATGTCAGCTTTATCCTACAATCTCTGAGGAAATTTGCCCAGCCTCCGTGTTTATGAGAAGCCCTCCCTATGTGGAATTTCTGCAAATCCAAAAATAAAATAAAATCAAATAAAAATCCGTCCCATTCTACAAAACTTCTAAGATCGTCTCACCAGTGAGAAGTTTGATATAACTTGGCTAGTTTGAACCAAATGCCTGATGTCTCAAAGGACAAATTGAGAAATCTCATTTCATGGTTTAGTCAGATAACATCAGGGGTGGGATCCGACAGGGTTAACTGCCAGTTCGGTGATTTGCGAGGTTCGGTGATTTGCGATGTGCTTCTCTGCACGCTGCCAGCGCTGCTGGCGCGTGCCTGTAAATCGTCATCAGCATGCTGCGTGCAGAGAAGCAGCCTTTCAAAAAGCCCTTTTTTTCCTGCTTTTTTAACTGCAGCTGTGCCTCGCACTGTAGCTGAAGTTGAAAAATCAGGAAATAAAGATCATTTAAGAGCCCAGGTGGGCAAAAACATCAGCAGACATAGAACCGGTTCTATATCTGCTGCTCTTCAGAACTACCAGTTCTACAGAGGGGGACAGAACCGGGAGAAACCCACCCCTGGATAACATCCTAAAATAGACGGTGGGAATGCTGTAAACATAATATACCTCGACTTAGCAATTCCATTGCCAAAGAACCCTAATGTCAGGATTCCAGCAATCGCCCTAATTAAATCATGAGCCTCGAGCCAAACTTCAAAAAACTTCAGAAGATTTATTAGGAGAGAGACATGCTGGCATGACTTGTATGAAGCCGACTCTGAGATATGTAATTTACCCATGACCCTGTTTCCCCCCACCCCTCTGAATCATAATTCAGATTCTCCAACGAACCACGTTCACGGGCTGGGTGTCATCCATCACACTCTCCAATAGAGGATTTTAGCGGCCAAAATACCTGGTTGCCTCAGCTACAATCTTTGTGAGATAAGCTTGGAATATGCTTCTGAGTTCATTTGCAGTATGCTCTTTCGGGGTTCCACCCCCCCACCTTTCTTATGGCAACTTGGAAACAGGCATAGGAATGTTTTACAAGTTGACACCTAAGACACTCACATTAGCAAGATATTTAAGTATGGGTTAGAAGGCAAGTCCATTAAATCAGGAGTACCCAACCCCTGTGGACTGCCAGTTGGGAACTGGGGCGTGGGAATGGGGGGGCGAGCCATGAAAGTTCATTTGCACATGCGTGGAATCTAGGTTGTGTGTGCAAAACCATCCCCACTCCACCCCGTCATTGCTGCCGATCCGTGGAGCCCGAAAGATCGGGGGCCATTGTATTAAGTGATTCCATAGCTGGCTTGAAAAATCACGGTCCAAAAGAATTTTCAATTGTTCCTTGTGAAACCAGAAGTGACAAGGATTGGGCTACAAGGTCAATCCTGGATTTGCTATTTTACAAAATGTTCAATAATGACTTGAGAGAAAAGATAGAGGGAAGACTTATCTAAGTGCAGAAATTGGGTAGGTTAACTATTTTGACAGAAAACTCAAATTAATGGTTTGATGGTTGAGAAACAGATTGAAAATAACAATGAATTTTAATCAAGGCAAATGGGCAATTCTTCAGGAAATTAGGAAAAGAAATCAAATATATAAACTGTAGGATGGAGAAAACCTGGCTTGGTAATACTTTCTGTCAGTATTTTTCCTCCTTGGCAGCTTGAAGATGTGTGGACTTCAATTCCCAGAATTCCCCAGCCAGCGTTGCTGGCTGGAGAATTCTGGGAGTTGAAGTCCACACATCTTCATGCTTCCAAGGTTAAGAAACACCGATTTATGAGAACTGGACAAACTTAATATAAGATAGCAGCGTTACTGTGACTGCTAAAATGGCAAATGCAATGTTCGGTCTGCGTCAATCGTGCCATTTCCAAATGACAGACACAATAATTGTGTTCTGCAAATTGTGTCCAGTTTGGAGAACTTCATTTCAAAGAAAGAGTCTGAAAAACTTGGCAAAACAAGCCTAGGGAGGATAATCAAGAGAATTGAAAATTCAACCTCGTGGACAGAAAATGAGAAGAGGGATGTACATGAAACAGGAATATGCTTTGGTTTGAACCGCAAAAGAAATCATATTCCAGATTTCTGCCAACTCTTTTGGATCAGTCCTGGTTTGGCAGAAGCCATACTTGGGATGTTCTGGTTTTGGTTGCAACAAAATCTGTGAAGTTTCTGAGATTATTCTTACTTTTTTTGTAGGAGGCTGGGGCCAGGTTGATATGCAGGCCTTCCCTCCATGGCAGAACCTGGGCACCAGAACCAGTGGTGGGATTCAATTTTTTTTACTACCAGTTCTGTGGACGTGGCTTGGTGGGCATGGCAGGGGAAAGATACTGTAAAATCTCCAGTCAAGAGGTGGTATTTGCCAGTAAAGTGGCCAGGTTTGGAGTTGCCTGCCTTATAAAATGAGTATAGTAAACAAAGAGAAAAAAATAAAACCTGGACAGCAAAATGTAAAGAGAGAAGAAGAGATGGCCGCTCTACTTGCCTTGCTCCGTGAGTTTACGTTTAAGAGGCACACCCCACAAGCCAGTTCCTGAGCATTTTTAATGCCTGGGCGAAGCATACAGGAGGAGAAATCCAGTGAGTTTTCATCAGGCTGCAAGAAGAAAAGAGGAAAATCTGAACGTTTCTCAGGGGAGCAAAGAAATAAGCCAATCAAACTTTTAATCTAGTACAGCCTCTGTGCAGGATGCCAGCCCTGGATCCATCTTGAGACAGCACAAAGCCGAGTCCTTGTCCCAATAAATCCCTTTTATTTAACTTACAATGAATTTCCTATTCAACAAAGTCCTGGCCAACAGTCTTTCAAGATAGTTCCCAGTTACAGACCTCTATCAGGCTTGGAGAGCGGCCAGGCCGATATCTTTCAGACTTGGCAAGCATGCCGGAATGAACTAATTGTCTCCTGCAAAGCCCCACTCCCCTTTCGCTCCTCTTTTATTCCCTATGGGAGGGGCCATTCACTTATTCACTTGTGGGAGGGGCTATTCACCATTCACTCCCAAGTCAGCCTGTGTTCCTCAGCTGTTCCCTTCTTCTAGCAACTCTGTGCATGTGCACATTGGGAACAGGCTCCAGCTGTCCTTCTGCCTCACTGATGTCTGACTCTGAAGGCAGCTGATAACTGTCAGATGGCCTGGCACCATCTCTGCCTCCAACACAGAACCTTCCCCAGACTCCAGGACTGGCCCTTCTTCCTCCCCAACCTCCTTACTGTCCGAATCTGCTGGCCGCTGTCGGGCCACAACAGTAGCAAAAGGGAGTATAGCCATAACAACATATTTTCACATGAGATCAAGGTCGGGTTGCTAGCACCTGGAAGGGAGTGACTGAAATTTGGCAGCAGCAGAGGCAGGAGATTGACTGGATCTCACAATGTGCATGTCACTGGACAGGGCAGGGTGTGAGTTTTAGTGTGAGTGGTGGGGAAACGCAGGATTTCAGATTTGGGTTTTCCCGAGATATGCCAACATGACTTCTCTAATAAATTCTTACTTTGATGGATTTTGTCTCGGAGTCCTGAATTGCAACAAGAGTTTCATTGGAACGCTGACACAGGAACTGCGAGAGCCACTTTAGGTTAGTGATTAAGGCGCCAGGCTAGCAACCGGGCGACGGTGAATTCTAGTCCTGTCTTAACCATAAAAGCCAACCGGGTGAGTTTGGGCTGATCACTCACTCTCAACCCAATTCACCTCACAGGGTGGCTGTTGTGAGGAAAATAGGAGGAAGAAGGTGTGGTGGGTATGTTTACCACCTTGAGTTCTTTGTAAAAATCATAAAGGTGGGAGATAAATTAATATCAACTCAAGTAGGAAGACGCCTTTCTCACAAATTGCTATTTCGATCTTCGACTGCCATGTTTAGTCCTAGAGAGACCTGCATGTAAAGCAGATGTTCTTCCTCTGAACTTCCTCCCCTCCGTGAGGTGATAGAGGTAGTCCTTGACTTGTGACCACAATTAGGACTGGAATTTCCATCATTAAAGTCAGACCTAATTTTACAACAATGTTTACAGTGGTTTTTAAATGAATCATGGTTATCATTACGTGAATCATATGTTGTTAAGGGAATCATGCAGCCGATAAATAAAAATCCGGCTTCCACAGTGGGCATTTTTTGCTGGAAAACAGAATTAAAGGCTGCAAACGATGATCAGGTGACTGTAGGACATTGCAACCAATTGTAAATGTAAGCCAGGTTCCAAGTGCCTGAATTGCAATCATATGATTGGGAAGGTGGTGCGATGGTCGTAAGTGCAAGTAGAGGTCATAAGTATTTTTCTATACTTGTAACTTTGAACCATCATTAAACATACTGACATAAGTCGAGGACCATCTGTAATTGCAGAGGGTTGCAAAAATGTCAATTATTGCTTTCTGTATGTGCACAACATGCCCTCTGATCTGCATAAAAATTAGCTTAGGGCAGGGATTCTTGGAATGAATGCATTGTATAATTGTATTTACTAAGACAATAAAATTGCAATTTACTGGACAATACATCAGCTCCTGTACAGAGCAGGTCCAGTTTCCCCAGTGATATATGACATTTGCTCAGTGACCACAAAATCAATGACGTCCTTTCACGTTTAGCATTTATGAATAACAGGCGCCTTGTGCTCCCAAATCAGTCCATTAAAACAAGGTTTCGTTGTATTTTTTTTTTAAAAAAGGACATAGACAATTTTGAGGTCAACTTTCCCACTAGGGAACATCAAAATGGAAAGATTGGAGGAATAGATGTCCCAAACCTAGAAGCCTAATACTCCGGCCCAGTGTTTCTTAGATTCAGTTGCTTTAAAACATGTGGACTTCAGCTCCCAGAATTCCCCAGCCAGTATGACTAGCTGGGGAATTCTGGGAGTTAAAGTCCACACCTCTTTTTTTTTTTAAACAAATTTTATTAATTTTTTAAAGACAAATGGAACATAAGACATAAGAGCATAAAACCTCCTTTCTAAAGGTTACTTATAGGTTTTAACAAGACAAATAAGACATTATTTTATACAGCATAGTTCCACATTATCACATTTCCATTTAAACACATATATATCTTTTCCAAATTTCTCATTATTTCTCCCTTCACTTTTATTCAATTATATTTCTTTCTATCAAGGTTTTATTAATTCTCAGTCAAATATAAACACACAAAATACAGAGCATAAAACATAAAACTCCTGACAAACAAAACATAAGACATAGAAACATAAAATCTCCTTTCTAAAAGCTGCTTATAGGCTTTAACAAACAAATAAAACATTATTTTGTATAGCGTAGTTCCAAATTATCACATTTCCATTTAAACACATATATATCTTTTCCGAATTTCTCATTGTTTCTCCTGACTGGGGAATTCTGGGAGTTAAAGTCCACACCTCTTAAAGTTGCTAAGGTTGAGAAAGACTGGCCTAGATAATTAGATCAACTGTGCCATCCAAGCACCATCCAAGGCCTAACCCTACTGAGCTTATCTGGAATTAGCCTCAGAGGGATATATGCTGCCACCTACACGCAGACAGTGATTATGATGGCTTCATGAAATGATATGCAGGTGGAATCAAGTCTCCCAGCGCCACCTATTGTCCTCCAGCAATTGTTCAAAAGCACCTTACCGTTAAGGCTGCAAGGGACATGAATCCGATCAGGTTATTCCACACTTTATCGATATCCTTCAAGAGGAGTTGGAGTTTCTCGCTGCAGACAGCGGTGGCTTTGATGCCCAGCTCCACCCGCTTGGTGACTCGATAAACTTCAACAACCCCTAGGAAGTATTTGAAAAAAGAGCAAGAAACACGCCAAGAGGTCCTATGAGTAAAAGGAGGATCGATTTACCTGTATCGTATATGACATGTAGACGGTTTTTGCGGCCTTAGCTCAGAAGGCGTTGTGACAGAAGCAGAACTGTGCCTGAATTTCACTTGCTCTTACAAAAACTAAATTTGCACACTGGGAATCTCTTGCTGTCTGTGCTCCTCACTGATTTGTGTGTATACAGGTGGTCCTTGACTTAGAATCATTCAGATCATTGACTAAGGCAACGCAATGTTTTATTACATTTTTTAAAAAAAAATGTCACGATTTACTTGAAACAGCAACATTTCAAGGGAAAGTAGGCAGAAGGACAAGTATTTGTCTATAACTTTGAGGGAGGTGAGATTTAAAAACATGGGAAGGATGCTTTTCCCATGTTAGTTCCCTTCTAGTCAGTGGTGTGTTTCAAATATTTTTACCACCGGTTCAGTGGGCATGGCTTGGTGGGCACACTTTGTGCATGCATACACACACACACACACTTTGCATGCGCGTGTGCCCCGAACACACACTTTGCGCAGGCCCAGAGGCGTTTTGACTCACCTCCTGCAATCCTACACTCTCTCTGACGCTTCAGCAGCTGCTGCGCGGCAATTGAGCTGAGCTTCAAAAGCAGGACATAATGACACTATAGAGCCCTGCACACCACAACAACTAGACACAGGAACAGTTTTTTTCCCCAGGTGCCATCACTCTGCTGAACAAATAATTCCCTCAACACTGTCCAACTATCTACAAAGTCTGCACTACTATTACTATTAATCTTCTCATCACTCCTTATCACCCATCCCCTCCCACTTGTGACTGTGTGACTATAACTTTGTCACTTGTATCCTTACGATTTATATGGACTGTTTCCTAGTATGATTTGATTGCTTATTGTACCCTATGACTATCATTAAGTGTTGTACCTTATGATTCTTGACTCTTGACAAACATGTCTTTTCTTGTATGTACACTGAGAGCATTTGCACCAAGACAAATTCCCTGTGTGTCCAATCATACTTGGCCAATTCAATTCAATTCAATTCGATTCAATTCAATTCAAAATTCAATTCAATTCAATTCAAAATTCAATTCAATTCAATTCTGTTCTATTCTATTCTATTCTATCCTATCCTATCCTATATTCAATTCAATTCAAAATTCAATTCTATTCAATTCAATTCAAAATTCTATTCTATTCTATTCTACTCTATATTAAGGTTAGTATGGGTGCCCAAGCAGGCAAGTGGGCGGGCAGGCCCAACACAGAGTGTCGGAGAGAACTGGTTCGGCCTCCGCTGCTCATCGTCGCTACTGGCTCGGCAGAACCGGGCCGAACCGGTAAAATACCACCACTGCTTCTAGTTCTCTATGGAGTTTCTCAGCCGTCCAGGTCATGGTTGCACCAAAGATGCTTTGTTTCAAGAGGCAACTGGACTTTCCTGTTTTTCTTTGAATTTTGCTTCTCATCCAAGAAGCTTCTTCAGCTCTGACTGGATGGTGGGGAATGGAAGGATTTATACTCCTGGCAGACAGCTTCTAGTTATTGTTACTTCTAGTTACTTCCCTTCTAGTTACTGTTCTATAAACCTATGCCTACAAGCAGGGCTCTCTAACCTTGGCAACTTTACGACTTGTGGACTTCAACTCCCAGAATTTCTCAGCCAGCGTGGGGGTTGAAGCCCACAAGTTGTAATGTGGCCAAGGTTGGAGATCCTTGCCTTTAAGGAGACATCTCCCTTCTTCCCTGCCACCCATCTTCACAAATACCTGGACACTTTTAATTCATGTTACAGGTTGTCCTTGACTTAAAACCATAATTGAGCTCAGAATTAGTCGTAGCAGTCATAAAACTAAGGGCCACATGACCAGATTTGAAGTTATGACTATTTTCCACGATGGCCGTTAAGCAAACACCACGGTGGTTAAGAGAATCTATTTTCCCAGGGGGTGTTTTTGGGTTGACTCAGACTTCCACCCTTCCATGGTCGGTAAAATGAGGACCCGGATTGCTGGGGGCAATAGGCTGACTTTGTAAACCGCTTAAAGAGGGACTGTAAAGCATTGTGAAAGGGTATATAAGTCTAAGTGCTATTGCTATTGCCAGAAACTGGAAGTAAATGCCAAAAACTGGCAAAAAAGTCACAAAATGTGGTCACAAAACTGTGGAATGCTGTAAACAGCCATGAAGGTGAGCCAATTGCCAAGTGCCCCAATCATGGGTGTGTGGCAGATGTGTGTCTGGCTGTTGCAACTCCAAACAGTTCTTAAGTGACTGGTCATAAGTCAAGGACTACCTGTCACTGCACTACTGAGATATGAAATCAAATAAAATTGTACCTAATAAATATTCCATGCCCTGCACAGACTGGATGACTTCAGTACATACAGAAGAGCTGCTGATTCCGTTCAGGATGTCGTTTGCTTTCTTGATGACCTATTAGAAGAGAAGTCGATTTTAGCACAGTTGTGGCCAAGTTACACAATCAGCTGCTGAATTTTACCGAATTTTTATCCTACACTGCTTGTTTTACGTAAGATAGCGCATATTATTGTACTCTTCCCCAACTTTATAATAGTTGCAGAATTGTTCCAGTGAATCTCCATGTGAAGAATTGTTCCGGTGACTCTCCATGTGCAGTTGAGGCTGATTATTAAACACCACAATTTGTAATTCCAACCACAAACACACCGCAAAAGATGTGGAGTCCTTTTTCTTAGTAGTTATGGTACATTTGCTACAATGGACCTCTTTCCTTCTACGCTCTGAAGACTACACAGCCTACAGGGAGTCCTTGAATTTATGACAGTAACGGAATCTGCCCATTATGGTCCTACGATATGACAGTCATAAAGCAGGTTGCCACACGACCAACCTGTTTTTATGGCCTTGTTTCGTGGTGCTCGTTAAGCAAATGCTGTGTTTGTAAAGCACACACTGCGGTCGTTAAGTGAACCAACGGATTGCTAGGAGCCAGTTTTGCTGAAAACTGGAAGTAAATGCCCAGTTTTGGCAAAGATGTCATAAAACGTGAGCGTGGGACGCAACAAATGGCTGTCAGTGCCAATGGCTATAAATTGCCAAACTTCAGAACTAGGTCATGAGTACCCTTGGAGAGGTCAGTTGTAACTTTGAATGGTTGCTAAGCGATCACCCGTAAGTCAAGGGCTACCTCTATTACTTTTATGCCCCTGTCCTTATGCCTTAAGACAACCTTTTGGGCACCATGGAGAGAGTTTTTTTTTGTGGACCGGAGAGAGTGTGGTTTTGTGTACTGCCTGCATCCCATGAATGGGGCTTCGTTTGTTTCTGGCATCCTGTGGACCAGTGGTTGGGGACCCCTGTCTTAAGATCTCCCTCTTAAGGGATTTATATAATTGTTATAGATGTTATAACTGTTATTGACCAACAGGAGGCACTACGTAACTGGTTTCCAGAAATGTGTTGCATAGGGCCTCCCACTGGTTATTAGCAGTGGACACATCTGAAACAGAATAACAGAGGTGGAAAGGAACAACTCTGGTCTTCTTGTTCAACTCCCTGAACAAGCAGGAGTCCCTATTTCATTCTGGACGAATGGCTATCCAATCTCTTCTTCAAAATCTCCAGTGTTGCAGTACCCACAACTTCTGGAAACAAGTTGTTCCACTGGTTAATTGTTCTCACTGTCAGGAAATTTCTCCTTAGTTCTAGGTTGGGTTTCTCCTTGATTAGTTTCCACCCGTTGCTTCTTGTCCTGCCTTCAGGTACTTTGGAGAATAGGTTGACCCTTTCTTCTTTGGGGCAGCCCTTTAGTTATTGGAAGACTGCTCTCATGTCTCCCCTAGTCCTTTTCATTAAACTAGACCAGGGGTTCCCAACTTGGGGTGCTCGCACCCCCTGGGGGTGTGAGACAATATTCCAGGGGGTGCGAGAAAAGTCCAGGTAAATAATAGGATATTGGCTATATGTTGGCATTTTTATTTATTATGCAATGGATTAACTTTGTTTTCATTTTAGAGTTAAGTATTGTTATTTAGTGGCCGTCACATACATAGCTGAAAAGATTCAATCCTATCATATATTTAACGCGTTCAGTAATTCCTAAAGGCTAAATTTCAGGGGGTGCGAGGTTCGAGTGAAATTTCTTTAGGGGTGTGGGGCGAATAAAAGGTTGGGAAACACTGAACTAGACATATCCAGTTCCAGCAACCGTTCTTCATATGTTTAAGTCAGGGGTGGGATTCAACCGGTGTAACTACCGGTTCCGTGATTACCTTTTGCGCGCACACTGGTTCTGTGTCTGCTGCTCTTCAGAGCTACCAGTTCTATAGAGCCAGGCAGAACAGGTAGCATCCCACCCCTAGTTTGAGTCTTCCAAGATCTTTGTCATCATCTCTACACTCTTTCCAGAGTCTCAAAATCAGTTCCAGTATTTAAAATGAGGCCTGCATCTATTCTTTTCGTGCAAAGCAGTAGTTAGTGGGAGGTGAAACCCAAGTGCTACTTCAATATTGTGGTTTTATCTGCCCACTCTTAGTTACTGGATCACTGATTTATTTCAACGGACAAAAAAAAATTGAGAGAGATCTTGGCATCACAGGTACTCTGAAGAATAGATTGACCCCCACTTCTCTGTGGCAACCCCTTAGGTAATGGAACACTAATCTCATGTCATTCTTAGTCCTTCTCTTCATTAAACTAGACACACCCACCCAATTCCTAAATATATTGGAGCCTTCAGCGCCCAAATCATCTTTGTTGCATTTCTCTGCATTCTTTCCAGAATTTCAACATCTTTTTTTACATTGTGGTGAAAATATAAAACAACCAACTGAAGTGAATTATGCAAAATATTCTCGCTGCTCTATAGATGTCATGGCCAACTTTCCCCTTTTCAAATCACCAACACCTACAGAAAAGGAAAGGAAGTTACTCAGGTAGATTAATATGGTGGTCACCTACTTACCTGCAGCGCACTTTCCAAACATCTCTGCCATTCATAGGCATATCTCTCACTTTCCTAGTGGGAGAAAGTAAAAGAAACCATTTTGAATGGCTGCAAAAAAAAAAAAGCCAACATGGAATGATTTTTATATTTGTTTGTTTTTTCTGCATGGGATAGTCAAATTCAGATGTGGCAAATCAAAAACTTTTCTATTTTTTCTTCATCTGTAACAGCACACAACAGTGTCAGAGTATATTCATGAACTGGAATAGAGCTTGGTAACAAGGTCAGCCAATGAATAGGCATAGCAATTAAGTCAGCCAATGAGAACTGTTTGGAAACTGAAACTAGATGTAGCCTAGGCGTCGCTCTATATTAAGCTCTGCAACTCTGCAGCTATGGTGAGCTCTGGGTCTGTCTATTGAAATGAAACTGCTTCTCTCTGCTTGCCTGATGAACTAAAGTAAAACTGGAAGTTCTCTTTGTTCTGGTCTACTGAAGTTACTTGCAACATGTTTCTGTCTGAGTTTGCTCCATGTTGGAGTAATCTACAACTGGTTTGTAAAATCTACTTATTATGTTTATAAAAATGTTAAACGAAGCATCAGCCATCTGTGTTTATTTTGCCGGCGCTGAATTAATGCTGTAAAACTCTGAATAAACAGTTTGGGAGGGAAAGGCTGTGGATCTCTTCCAGTGATACGTTTCAAAAAAGGTTTACCACCGGTTCGGTGGGTGTGGCTTGGTGCACATGGAAACGTGCACTTTGCACGGGCGCAGAGGCTTTCCGATTCACCTCCTGCAATCCTGCACTCTCCCTGTCGCTTCAGCAGCTGACGCACAGCAATCTGCTGTGCCGAGCAATGCAGCTGTGCTTCAAAAGCAGGAAATAAAGGTCAGTGAGAGCTCGGGCAGACAGGTGGGCCCAACAGCAGCTCCTCAGAGAAAACCGTTTTGGTTTCCTCTGCTCTTTGGTGCTACTGGTAGGCCAGAACTGGGCCAAACCAGTAGAATACCATCACTGATCTCTGATCCCATCAAGTTGTGAAGATCAAATAGGCCATTTGGATTACTATCCACTAGCAAAACTGGTTCCCATCTAGTTATTTTGGAAGGATATTAAACGGGCTGGTTCCAAATAATTTTTGGTGTTGCCCCTTGATTGGAAAATGTGGCTGAGTATAGGCTGGTGGGTTTGGTTTATGACAGAGGTCTTCGAACTTGACAGCTTTAAGACTTGTGGACTTCAACTCCCAGAATTCCTTCTCCAGTCATGTTAGCTTGGGAATTCTGGGAGTTGAAGTCCACAAGTCTTAAACTTGCCAAGTTTGAAGACCCTTGGTTTATGAGATGGGCTGCTCTGAATTATTTGTAGTTTGTATTTCATTTTGTTGCTTGGAATGGATTGGGCAGCACCCAGGTATGCCTGTAAATCAGTGTTTCTCAAACTCGAGAAGTTTTAATATTTCTGGACTTCAACCACCCAGAATCCCTCAACCAGACTCTGGCTGGGGAATTCTGGGAATTGAAATCCACAGATCTCAAAGTTGCCGAGACTGAGGAACCCATTGCGGTAAGCAATAAGTGAAAGAATCATTATGAAAGCTGAGCTGCATCTGGGAAACAAGGCAGCTACAACTCTACCTTTCTCTTACAGCGGCTCTCAATTCATCCACAAGGATTTCTCCCTTACCTGAATTTGCAGCTTGGCACCTGCTTAATGAAGCAACTGTTCTCAGCACAGGTGCCCCAAGCCACAAACCTTTTTGTTGGTTCTCCCCTTACCTCTACTTCTCCAGTAAGGTCCTTGTATTTGTCTCGGATGACTGGCAGGGAAGGCTTCTCGCTCAGAGTGTTTGATCGATCTCTGAAGGGCTGTTCCACAGGAGGCAGAGGTGAGGAGCCTAAACTTAGGGTCCTTTTGTGAGAACCTGGAAGGAAGTACAGGTATTAAAGGGGTGGTCAGGTCCATGAATACAGGTAGTCCTTGACTTACAACCACAAGAAGCCATGGATGGAAACTAACCAAGGAGGGAAGCTACCTAGGACTAAGGAGAAATTTCCTGACAGTGAGAACAATTAATCGGTGGAACAACTTGCCTCTAGAAGTTGGGAATGCTCCAACATTGGAGGTTGTTAAGAAGAGATTGGACAACCGTTTCTTTGAAATGCTCTAGGGTTTCCTGCCAGAGCAGGGGGTTGGACTGGAAGACCTCCAAGGTCCCTTCCAACTCTGTTATTCAATTTGTGATTCTCTTTGTGATTTGTTTAGTAACTGTTCGAAGTTACAACGGCAATGAAAAAAGTGACTTATGACAGTTTTTCACACTTATGACCATTGCAGCATCTTTATGGTAACATGGTCAAAATTTGGATGCTTGGCAATTGGTTCATATTTATTTATCATGGTTACAGTAGAACACTGTAGAGAACGGAGCACCATTGGTGACCTTGTGACAAGCAAAGTTTTCAATGGGGAAGCCAGATTCGCTTAACAGCCATGTTATTAACTTAATAATTGCAGCGATTGACTTAACAACTGTGTCAAGGAAAGTCATAAAATGTGGCAAAACTCCCTTAACAACGGTTTCATTTAGCAACAGAAATATTGGGCTCAACTGTGGTCATAAGAAAATGGTCCTCTGCCTTGGTCCTCTGCCTTGAGCAGTGGGTTGGACTAGAACAGGGGTCGCCAACCTTTTGGACCTCAGGGACCGCCAAACTCATAATTTTAAATCCCGCGGACCACTGATATGAATTTTGGCTGACGGTGGCTTGCTGAAAGTCGGTCCCCTATTCCAGAGCTGCAATAGTCACAGGACTGGCCCTTTGGTCATCCTGGAGCAGCTCTCCAGTCCATGGCAGGCCGGTACACCCGGGTGGAGGAGCAGCTGCTCCGGGATGACCAAAGGGTCAGTTCAGCTCTGGAATATGGGACCGACATTCCCACCAACGTCAGCAAGCCACCCAGGGATGGATTTCCCTCCCTTACTGTTGGTCTTACCTTCCAGTTCCAGCTCGCGTGGCTCTACTCAGGGTAAGGTTTGCACTCGGCTGAAGGGTGAGGGGCCAGAGGGCGGGTGGGCCATGTGGGCGGCGCAGCCTTGTGTTCCTGCACAGCCTGGATTAATTGTTTTGGGGGGATATTTCTCTGTGGACCATCAAAATTTTCTCACGGACCACCAGTGGTCCTTGGCCCACTGGTTGGCAACCACTGGACTAGAAGACCTCCAAGGTCCCTGTTAGGAATATGAGTCACCTAACAGCTATTTGGGTTAGAAATATATAAACCAGGGTAAACATTTTAAAACTGTATTTTTAAGAAAATGCAAAACTGTAATTAGGTATGGTTTCTCAAACGGCCATAAGATGGAGCCAGAAACCTGGTTTGTTTAGTCTTAGTCTCAGAAGAGAGTGTGTCTGAGTGAGTATCTCTGTTTCCTTCTGTTGGAAAGTATTGCCGTTGCTCCATTTCTTCTAATTGACTGATATTACTGGATTTAATGTAAGTCTGATACTGAACTTCTTTTTGACACTGGAATTTGATATTTGGATTATCCCTGGATGAAAACTGACTGATTTTACCTGTGAATGACTTTAGACTGCCTATTTTGGACTTTGCTTAACGTTTCTGGAAGTAAAAACCTACATTTACTGTACAGTGTATCTGTGTGCTGTATGTGTATGTGTATTATTCAAACACTCCTGTTAAATACGTCTCCCTGTATGCGTTCATTCTCCTAACGAGGAATTACCTCAACAGTCCCTTCCAGCCCTATGATTCTATGATTTTATGTAGCTCCACAGTTTTATTGAAATCACTCACTTTAATTTCTGATCTGTGCCTGTTTGCTCTCTCCCTGCAAAGAATTGCTGGAAAGTGAATGGCCTTAGAAATCAAATCATAAAAAATTCCACAGATATTCTGAATTTCTTCAATTCCCAGCACTAGGTGAGACTTAGAACCAACCACAAACTAAGTATACAGGTAGTCCTCAACTTACAACAGTTCATTTAGTGACCATTCAAAGTTACAATGGCACTGAAAAAGTGACATGACCATTTTTCACAGTTATGACTATTGTAGTATCCCCATGGTCACGTGATTTACATTTGGATGCTTGACAACTGACTCACATTTATGATGGTTGCATTGTCCCAACAGTGTGATCCCCCTTTTGTGACCTAGTCAATGGGGAAGCCAGATTCACTTAACAACCATGTTACTAATTTAAGAACTGCAGTGATTCACTTAACAAATGTGGCGAGAAAAGTCGTAAAACAGGGGCAAAAACTCACTTAACAAATGTCTCACTTAACTACAGTGAAGTTGAAGTTGTAAGTTGAGGACTACCTGTAATGGCAACCGCAATATCAGCGTGGATTCTCACCTTGAACAGAGAGGTCAAAAGTTGCCAGCTCGCTTTTGATCATTTCTTCACTGGATTTCATTTTCCCTTGGGAAGTTGCCAGTAAAAAGTCAAATTTGCTGATCTTTGGTTTTTCACCCTGAAACTCTCCAAAGTCATCAAAAACTTCTTTTCCAGCCTCTGAAGAGACCGGGGCCGAGTCAGCCTCTTGAAGTCCGCCCGTGGCTGGTCTCTCAATCCCATCGTCCGGTGGTCGAGCAAACTCTCCAAAATCTTCAACTTCGTCCTCGCTTTGGTCCATAGAGGGAGGACTGGAACCTTGGAAGTTTGTAAAAGATGCGAATGTCACGTCTTGGAGAGCGTCCTCGTTCGCAAAGGTTGTCACTTTGGAAACGGTGGTCACGGTGATATTTTCAGAGCTGCCGAAAAAGGTCTCCTTCTTCTGGAGGACAGAGGTAGCTAAGGAGGCGACGCCATTTCCTGCAGGAAGGGAGAAGGGGGTAGACTTTCTGCTCTGACAGACATCTTCTTTATCAGGCCAGTCACAGCTCGGGAAGCTACTCAGAAGAGAGCCACTGCTATAAGTTCCAAACGGGGCACACTTCAAGTCATCCAGATCTAAAAAGAGCAAACAGACATCCAAAGAGTTAAGGAAGGGACGGGCGATCTTCTCACCAAACCTCTCGCAAATCAAAGCCAAAGAAGGAGACAATACCTGGGGTGGGCGAAGTTGGGAATCTCAATATCACAGGCCAGTTTCCAAATATTCCTCCACGCTCCCCTACCAGAAATATGATGGGTATCCTAAAGGAATCGATTCTTCGTCGGAGCAAGGGGATGCGAGAACGTATCGACCCCCAGTGTCTATGGGTCAACTCATAAAGCATTCCTGGCCTGCTCTTGAGTTGCCGTAGGCAGGAGATGGAGAGAACTGATGGAGAAGCTCGGTTGCTATGACCAGAAGCACATTTCACGCATACCTTTCTCCAGATTGTATCCTAGGTTACTAGAGCAAGCCAGAGAGGTGTGTTTTCTACAGTCTGAGAAAGTGCTCCATTGGAGAATGTGATTTATGACACAGCCTGGGAGGAGGGGGGGAAACAGGGTCATAGGTGGCCAGTAAATTACGTGGGGCAGAGCTGACTGTACTTGGGAAAGTGCCAGACATGTTGCTTCTAATCAATAATTGGATTTCTTTTGAAACTTGGCTCAAATTATTTAGGGCATCCATCGGAATCCTGACACTATGGAGACATGCAGGTCATGGTTCTCCCAAAGCTGCTTTTCCAAAAGGCAACTAGTTTCTTAGTTTTTTTTTTCTTTGAAAATGTTTAGCTTCTCATCCAAGAAGCGGTGAGAACAGAAGAAGATTCTTGGATGAGAAGTGAAATGTTTTCAAAGAAAAAAAAAATCCACTTGCCTGATTCTAATTTTGCCTTCCACTAGACTATGTGGTGCTCTGGCTTCAACTACAACGGTTCCTATCTGCCTTCCTCCTCCAGGTGTTGGATCACAGCTCCCACAACCGCTATCATAATCTGCTGATGAAAGTAGAGTACAGTTATCTAACATTTCCAAATGTTACCGAATTGGAATAAAGGTATTATTTGAAAAACCTTCAAGTCAAGCTATGACACCTAGTCGAATTTAGCAGACCTGATTAAAAGAAGGATGGAATACTTGTAACAGGACATTACAGAGCTCTAGGCTAGAATGGGAAATTATAAAAAAATCCTGTAAGAAGTATCAATGGAGGTTCTCAATCATCCATGTCATGGTAGCCCAAAGGTGCTTTTCTAAAAGGCAACTGGACTGTAGGAAATGATCAGGCTGACTAGCCTAAGGGGTCAAGCATGTCATAGGTCTTGAGTCCCTGCATGCCTACAAGAGATCTAAGTCCAGCCCACTTTGAATGCCTTTCTTATCTCCCACTCATTTCTCTTGACTGTTAGTTGGTTAGATTCTTATAGAGTTTAAGCATGCAATAATTTCTGCACCTGGACAGCGCAAATGGGTGTGGAGCCTTCTTGGAACTGCTGAAAGGGCTGTATTGTAAACAGGAGATAGGTGGTGCCATATCCCTTCCCCTCTGTTGAGAGAGGGCTGTTCAGTCTTAATGTAGATGGCCTCTTTGACACCTCCCACCTCTTTCAAACCATCTATCTCCTGTTTACAACACAGCCCTTTCAGCAGTTCCAAGAAGGCTCCATACTCATTTGCACAATTCGGGTGACCCCGAGGGCACGGATAAACCTCCAAGTGGCCACAATGACTCTCAGAAAGAGTGATAACAACCAGATGACTACAAGGAATATAAATCCTTCCAGCCTCCACCATTCAGTCAGAACTGAAGAGGCTTCTCGGATGGGAAGCAAAACGTCTTCAAGGAAAAACAAAGACCAGTTGCCTTGTGAAAAAAGCGCCTCTGGGATTTCAATAGACCTTAAAAATCTGGCTGTTCTCTCAGGCTATGAGACAGGATGAATGGATCTCTAAGATTGGTGTATGGTCTGGATCACCATCTTGTAAGTATTTTGTAATTTCTTTTTTTTTTAAAATCATTTTATTGTGTACTTAATTCATGATATTCTTTATTTTGTGAGCCACCCAGAATTGGATGCGATTGGACAGCACCAACGTTTGAATAAAGTAAAGAAATACAGGTACGTTGTCCACTTATGAAAGGCCATTTATATGATATCAGGACACGGCAACCATTGTTAATATACACTGGTGCCAGTTGCCAAGCGGCCAAATTTTGATCACGTGACCATGAGGCTGTTGCGATGGTCATTAAATGTAAGGCCTGGCCATAAGTCACTTCTTTCAGTGCTGCTATAATTTCAGACAGTCCCTAAACGAACGGTTGTAAGTCAAGGAGTGCCTATACACAAACCGCAGCTACGTTTCCCTACTCTCTATTATTCAGGGCAACGAGTACAAACACACTTGTGCACGTGTATTTTGTGATAATTAAATGTGATTCCAAGTTTCTGATTCTGAAATTTGGGGAGCCAACCTCATTTTTGCCTCGGGAAGGAAATCAGGCCTTTCCTCCTTCTGCCCCTCTGGAATGCCTGACAGAAATATTACCAACTCCCTTGATCATTTCATAGCTCAACTAGCAAAATTTGTATTTTAGGTGCAAAATTTGTATTTTGTCTAAAAGCCAACAATGGAGAACCTGAGATAGTTGCACTTTTGCTCAAACAACCTCGTTTCCCTCTTTGTTTTAAGGTTAGGCTCAAATTCAGACATCCAAAAGGTTGTTTTTTTTTAAAAAAAGGGGGAAGATACACATGGAATATCAAGAATAAACAACCTGCATTAAGAACTAGTGTTTTGGCTCAGTTCTGATCAGTTGTCTTATTTGGAGCTGTCCAACCTTGTCAACTTTAAGACTTGGTGGACTTCAACTCCCAGAATTCCCCAGCCAGGCAGCCAATATCAAGAATAAACAACCTGCATAACTGAGGTTTGGTTCTTCAGCATTAAGAACTAGTGTTTTGACTCTGTTCTGATCAGTTGCTTTGGCTGGGAATTGAAGTCCACCAATCTTAAAGTTGCCAAGATTGGACACCCCCAGACCTTATGTGATGAAGAGAACTGGGATTGCACCGAGCTAATATCCTCAGCAACATGTGTCTCTTTCAAATAGGGAATCTCCCTCTTCCCTCAGCAGCTTCCGTGCAGGGAAATGAATGCATACGAAGCCCAGGTATGCAACTGACTTGAGAGATTGTATGTGGAATATTAATTTCATTGTGTGGAATCTATGTATCATGATTTCCAAGAGACACCTACGGCAGGATCAACCCAACATCCCAACCTGCACTGTGATTAAATGAATAAGAAGCATGTTTTTTGGTGATCAGGAGAAGATAAATTTATGAAGAAGACACATACATCAAAGGACCAGCTTCTCTATGGGTCTTCGAATGCTATTATATCAAGCGGGAACAACCTTTGCCAAGATCTGGTGCCCTGCCTAGACCTATAGGTAAATGTGCCTGGTGACAACATAAACTTCTGCAATTCTCTTGGTGTGTGTATGTGTGTTTGTATTTATGTTTGTGTGTATGTGTGTGTGTATTTATGTTTGTGTGTATGTGTGTGTGAATGTTTGAAACTGCAGGCATTTTGAAAGAGAGAAACTTTTGTAGAAGTTCTAAATGTTCCAACACTGGAAGATTTTAAGAAGAGATTGAACAACCATTTGTCTTAAATGGTATAGGGTTTCCTGCCTCAGCAGGGGGTTGGACTAGAAGACCTCCAAGGTCCCTTCCAACTCCTACTCTACTCTACTCTACTCTACTCTACTGTCTCCCATTCACACTCACACAGATTTTAGGTTCACTTAACAACTGTGGCAACAAAGGTTATAAAATGGGGTAAAACTGAACAGCTATCACACTTAGGAACTGAAACATTGGACTCAATTGTGGTCATACGTTGAGGACTACCGGCATGTATAATAGAAACTAAAATTTTAGCAGGGCTTCCAGAGTTTCTATAGCATCAAAGAGCATGGTAGTTGATAATTTCCTTTGTTTATACAGGATAAGAAGGGGAAGGAGGACAATTAAATGACTATGTGATTAAGCTTAAAAGCGTTAAATATCCCTTCAAAGGAAGCTCCCTCCTCTTGTTATTCATAGCCTTTCTGCTACTCCAAGTGCTTTTCTTATTTAATTAGCTTACTTTCAAGGGGCAGAAAAGATGAGACAAGAAGACATGGCCAAAAGTAGTCCTTGACTTACAGCCATTCATTTAGTGACCATTTGAAGTTACAACGGCAATAAGAAAAATGACTTATGACCATTTTTCACACTGATGACCACGGCAGCATCCTCAAAGTCATGTGGTCAATATTCAGGCGCTTGCCAACTGACTCATGTTTATGACGGTTCCAGTGTTCCGGAGTCATATGATCACCTTTGAGACTTTCTGACAAATAAAGTCAATGGGGGAACTAGACTCGCTTAACAACGGTGTTAACTAACTTAACAATTGCAGTGGTTCACTTCACAACTGTGGCAAATAAAAAAGGGTCATAAGAACTGTCTTGCTTAGCAGTGGAAATCTGGAGCTCAATTATGGTCATAAATAGATTGACTGCCCATATAGACAGGGAGAGGGTTATCTGTATCCTATCCAGATAGGAATCGATTGATGCTTCTGTCAAAATCTTCTGTACTCCAAAAGAGTAAGTAGCAAAAACAGAGAAAGTTCCACCAAGCTCTAAATAAAGTCAGCAATCGAAAATCATCTGCTAGATTAAAGAAATTCTCCCCTCTTTATAGATATATTCATGCTCTTGAAGGTAGAAATGCATTCTTTGTTTTTAACATTTGGGAATTGTACTATATAACATTGTACTATACAACCTTGTTGCTTGTATCTCTATGATTTATGTTGTTTTACTTGTTTCCTAGTGTCATTTGATTGTTTATTTAGTAACTTATGACTATCACTAAGTGTTGTATTTTATGATTCTTGATGAATGTATTTTATTTTTTATATACACTAGGAGCATATGCACCAAAGACAAATTCCTTGTGTGTCCAATCACACTTGGCCAAGAGAGTTCTGCTCTGTTCTGTTCTGTTCTATTCTAT